CAAAGCACACCAGTTTGATGACGATGTCTACACTTTCGACGACGACCAACGAGACAGCGGCTTCGTGGCCCGTAGTAATCGTGAGGTCGGCGTCGATGCTGTCGACGAGGCGCGCATTGGTAATGTTGAGCCCGCCAGCGGTGGTGACGTGCCACCACATGCCGTCTCGGGCCATTCCTCGGTGGTCCAGCGCTCCCCAAGCATCTGCGACGTTGATGCTGGCCGCATGGGTGACATCGAGTGTCCTGCCAATGGCAACGAGGACAACACGGGCGGTGACCCAGGCATCGCTCTCGATGCGAGCAGCAACATCAGCCACGACGCAGCCCAAGAGTTTCAAGAGCGTGCCACAGCCACACGTGAGACCACGCGACGTCCAAATACTCGTTTCCTCCGCCGCAAGCAACTATGGGATCTTGTGGGAGACCCTGCGCTTCTTCGGAATGTTCCCCGCTCCACGCCACTCAAGCGCCGTGTTTTTGTGGAGCCCCCACCGTGGTGGTTGACGCTCCCCATCCCCGCAGTTGCCGGTCCCCCGCACGCTTTGGCAGAACTCGACGACGTTGATCCCGAGATGACAGAAGCCGTCGTGTAGCGACTAAAGTCAATTTGATATTTCGTATTCATCATTTGAGAAATGGACTTTCTCATAGCATCATCATCGCGACTATTGGACAACTCGAGAGCAGCGTCACGGCAACGACACTTGAACGCGTGTTTCTCGCAATCCAGAGCCTTCGGTTACGCGAAGAAGAAGAATGATTTGGTAAAGCCACATTTTCAGTGCCCTCGCCTTGGAGCTCCTTAAGCCCACGGCCAAGTGGCCTGGGTGCGCGTGCTCTACGAGCCATCAACCAGTCCCGACGTCGCCGACCCCGTCCTCGTTGATCTATGCTGCCTCAAAGACTGCGGGTACGTCCTCGACAACACTATCCACTTTTTTGTCTACCTGCAATTTCGCGCATTTTGCGAAAGCTCGACCGCAAGTACCTCATCACCATCTGCGGCAAGGTCCATTTATCATGCCTGACGGTGTCATCGCTTGCTGTTGGACTTCATCGCGAAGGATAAGAGCTGCAACGCCTCCAAAGCTTTGACGCAACGTCAACGAGAAGGACTCGGTGATCGTGATAGAGCCCTTGTGCCAGCACAAGTTGATATTCGATTTGTAGTGGTTTCCTACAAGGCGACGAGCTTCTGGACGTTGGCATGGAGCTGCTTCGAGTCGGCGCCGGCAAACTACGTATGGGATGAGCGTCCACGAAACGAGCAATCAACAAGGGACGTACGCCAAGAGGCTGCTGGATCTTGCCGTCGGCGTAAAAGTGAAACGTGGGCATGGCCTAAATCGTTGGTTGTTCTTGAGGTGGGTCAATTATTGTTATTGAGCTGAGCTCGCAGGAAGAAATTGTCTCTCGGGTACCATGAGCGCACGTGTCGGTAGAGACGATGGCGGCGCGTACGCAGACACTGGCCTTGGCGGCCGTCTCGTCGAGATCGAAAAGAGGTCGCGGCCACCAAACTGCCGGTACCCATTCGAGACGTGCAGCATATCGTCCATGGCACCGTACGTGACACCAAGGACGTAGATGTAGCCGTTCGTTGCCGTCGGCCTCGGTGGTTACGATGACAGTCCGCGCTTCGTCGTGCGCCGGTGTGCCCACCTATTTATCGAGATGCAGCATCCACTACCGTATGCTCTCACGTATCCAACCTGTTTGGTCCAGCTGCGCGCCCCGAACGGCAAGTACCTGAGGATGAACCAGTCAAAGTTGCCTGCGTTGGCGTTGTTGGACGTCATGTTGCCGCGCGTCGAGCCGACGACGTAGACGTTGCCTGCCGAGTCGAGCGCATTGCCGCCCCCGATCTCCGTGTCGCCGGACCCGACGGTGTCGGACCATGCGAGCGACCCGCCGGACGCTACGTTGGCGGTCGTGACGCCCACAGCCCCGTACTCTGTCGGCTTGCGACCAAGGAATCTTCCATAGGTAGCGCGGCGTCAGGGACCGTACCAGGACGTGGCCGTGGCGCCGAGTTTGGTCGGACGGCTGACAAGGTACGAGCTGCCGCTGGACGCGACTTGGTCGGCGTCGACGAGGGCGCCGCAGCAGGCAGCGAGGCCGCCGAGCAGCGTCATCTTCCATCCCATCGCACCTCGGCTTGGATCTTCTTCGTGTCACGACTGTTGTTCGACGCCGGTTCACCAAGATATTCATATCAACGGAAATAGTGTATGATTTGGATTCATCACCGCAACGCTCGAGCAGGTTACGATAAAGTGACGGGACGACAAGCGCACGCTGAATTCGACACCTGTCGAGGCAAGAAAGGCTGAAGCGGTAGCGCATACTCCACGCTACGCAGACCTGGAATGCGCCTCTGTCTCCGACGTGCTCTAAATAGTGTTCTGTTTGTACTATTTTCGGAATATCGCAATATGCCAAGAGTCCTGATCTGCGACGACTGCCGCGTCCCTCAGGCCAAGCAGTCGGGGTTCCGCGAGAGCCAATGGGAGAATCCGCGGCCGGCCTGCAACTCGTGTGCGACCAACCGCGCGTGGACGCTCTTCGCCGCCGACATGGCGGTGTGCCCCAACGCGCAGGTCGTGCACAACCACGGCGTGATCGAGCGCCCGGCGCCAGCCGTCGTGCCACCCGAGGCCTCGGCGCTAGCGCCGCCGCTGCAGTGGGTACGCGCCGCAGCGAAGAAGATGCAAGCTGCGCCGGCGAGCATCGAGGACGACAAGGCGAGTGACGACGATAATGGCAAAGCCCGCTGGGCGACGCACAAATCGTGGTGCTCCAGCTGCTGCAAACCGGCGCGGAAAGCGCTTCGTTGCAG